GTGGGGTAAGTGTGGTAGGCCGAAGTCGAAACGGTGTCGTCGTCGCCGTTGCCGTGTCGATTTCGCCCGCAGCATGATGTGAAAAGCTGTGGCTTCGAGTTGGACCACCGGCTTGAACTTGGGGTGTTGACCGACTGGTGTTGTGAAGCCCCAACCAAGCTGGCACCTTCCATGGATGTCTGCATCACAAAGTAATGGCACTCCTTTACCGCCCCTATGTAGCCATGGTATAGCAGGTGCAAGCACTATCGCCATGTGCTAGTTTGTTTCAACACCCGAAATGCTGAGATCGAGTTCTCAGCTGCAACACGCTGAACAGCTAACGGACGGTCTTGAAACTCTAAAACACGTGTTGAATGTCGACCTTCAAATATATTCCTAACCCTACAGCCCCCACCCTAACACCTAAACCCTATCCTGAACCCTAAACCATGAACATCTAAACCCTAAACCTAAACCCTAAACCCTAAACCTTACCCTAAACCCCTTTACTGGTACCAAATAAACCCGAAACCTAAACGTTATTTGTGTTGCCGTTGTCCCTCAGGAAGGTGTCTGACTGGCGTTCTGGCGGATCGAAGGCTTGGTCGCGCCTTCCTTGGCATTGCTGGTGAGGTTCAGGGTTTCACGTGGTTTAGGGCATATTGGGTCCATGTAGGGTTTAAGGCTTTACGAAGTTCCGGGTCTAGGGCATGTTGGGTTTGGAGGACTTACCGGCTATTCTAAGTTACCCGACTCGACCGTTCCAAACTCCAGAGTGTGGCAGGTGAGCTATTTTTCACCGACTGTCAGCGCCATCGACAACTACGAGCGCGGCAAGGCAGTGGTGGTTTCTGCCGTGTTTCCATCTCGAACCGTAAAGTTGTTTAGGGTTTAGCGTTTCTCTAAAGCCATGATGGATGCTATAAATATGGGTGTTATCAGCGCTTTCCGACTTAGGTTGTCAAAGCGAGTGTCCAAAAATTGGAGACCTGGGATGAACCTAACCAGGCAGGATCCTGAAGATGGAAGTGACGGCGCGAAAGAACCAGCAATAGATTCAGAATCCTGCAGAGCTCCTCGATCTTTTGACCGGGAGCTGCGATCGGGATTGGCAGCTAAAGGTTTTTGTTTTTTGGGGGGGGAGGGGGGGGGGGTGTTGACACGGTCTAGACCTGTCTTCAGCCAGCCTCGTTGCACCGGGTTCTATCACAGGCATGAGACATGCTATCTTGTTGCTAAGCCAAAAACCAGTCGGGAACGGCAGCTAATTATCAGCTAATTCAATATCCACATGAATTACCTCAGTGGGCACCGTATCATAGAACCGTTCCCGCATCAACAGAGTCAGAACCAATCGATGATGACCGATCTTGGTGAACCAGGCCACAAGCTTCGATTGTCGGTATCCCGAATCAGCTCAGCAAAGTAAAGCATCAGCGTGATCAAAATTGGGCACGCAGGCTGGTCATTTCTGCGCTCGAGACTACAAAACAGGCTTCCACTCAGGGCTTTGTTAGCTATGGCGCCAGCGCAGGTCCCAGCCTGTGCTAATCAGGATGGAGATGTGATCCCTGGAGTCAGCGTCTCGCGGCAAATCTCTCCAGTGCCGGAGCAAACAGCCAACGCTGTTCCTGCTCTAGCTGAAGACCTCATTGCTCGAATGGTGGGCCGGATGGCCCCAGTCTCTCCAGAATTGCTCCGGGCTACACGACCCAGCGATGTGTTCCGAGGCTTCGGCAAAGCCCTGCGCGGATCCAAGAAGCTTCATCGGTTGCTTAGGTGAAGGTTTCGGTACCTTTACCCTTTCATGTTCGCGACCCCTTTCAAACAAAAAGGTTAATTAACCTTTGCTCCCACTGCAAGAGTCGCAAGTGAGGCTGAGCTACCAGACCAAGAAGATCAACACGTTTTGGAGTCACAGTTGGCGTGGTTCAACTTGGCGAAAGTACATGACTCTTCTGCTCTTCTACAACGGTGCCGCTGCGGCAGTCATCGCATCTCTTGGCTCGGCTGTTGCGTGCGTCCTATTTGCATCAGAGCTGTTGCCCGTGCTGGGTGGACCAAACAACTTTACCGAGGATTTGCCTTATGCGAATTGGCAATCTTTCTGGGCAGGACTTGTCGGCATGATCCTGTACATCTTGGTGCTGTTGTTCTGGAGACCCGTTGGTTCCATCTTCTTTGATGTGATCTGCATAGACCAAGTGAATCCCGAACGCAAGGGAAAAGGATTACTGAGCATCGGTGCATTCCTAAAGGCTTCGCGCTCCATGCTGATTCTTTGGGATGCCACATACAGCGATCGCTTGTGGACAATGTTTGAGGTAGCTGCCTTCTTGAGGAGCCGGGAACAGGGCGAGACGCCAAAAGTCGTTCTGAGGCCCACGATCCTAGGCCCTTGCTACCTCTTGCTGATGCTGACGGTGATTCTCGTTCTCACCGTTGGTGACAATGTCAGTGTGCACTTCTCGGCCAGCTGCCGCTACGTGCTGTGGGCACTTCAGCTCTTGATTTGCTTCTGTGGACTGGCTGTTAACACGGCCACTTTCAGGGAGTATTTTCGATCAGTGAGTGATTCCCAGCAGCAACTGGCAGGTTGGCGTCTTGCAGATGTCAAATGCACCTGCTGTGACACCGGGCATGTTTGTGGCGGTGGAATTTGTGACCGAGAGGTTGTGCTCAAGTGCATCTGTCAGTGGTTCGGCAACCTGGAAAATTTCGAATTCCGCGTGCAAACGGAGATCATGGACGCATTTGTACAAGAGCAGTCCAGGCAACCCTTCACGTACTCACAAGTTGTGATTGCTCTCGTCCCAATTCTTTGGAGCTACCTGGACAGGGCCTCAGCATATGCTCGTTTCACCGTTTGGGATCCATGGCAGCAGGCATCCTGTCAGATCGCAAGAGGACTGGCTTGGTGGTTGGGGGTCGGTCCTATGGCCTTTCTAGTTCAGTGCCGGCTTGCATGTCGCTTCCAGAGGAAGTGCAAGTGGGAGCGATGCGATCCATTGATCAACTTGTTGCCACTCGGTGCGATGATGTTTGTCATTTTTGTGGCAGTTGTGGTTGAGCAGCTCTGCTTTGAGCCCACCCTCATTTATGACGGACACACGGACAACATGCTCTTGTTCGCTGCGCTTGTGCTACCTCCAGCTTGGTTGCTTTACAGATGTGTTGGCGCTGGCCCAAGATTGACAGTACGGACCAACCAGCACAGTATACCGTGAGTACATGCAAGATTTCTAAATTTTGAAACCAATGTTGCCTTGCCATGTACATAAAATCTACATGACACGTCTAACAGGAACACCGCTATCGGTGTTCTTGTTCAGTTGTGGTCAGTAAAGGGATCCGCCTTAAACACCCATGGCTTCATGGGCAATCAGATCAAGAAGTTGCTTCATTTTCGAAGTTTGCAAAGTACTGTACATGCGCATGTCCGGGAGGGATACCGGACACGTTGTGCTTCCGCTTTCCGCCTGACTTCCAATTACATAAGACTCAAAACGTCCACTTGTCGCCAGCTCTGCAGCTTAATTTTCGCTGTGAGTAACAGGTGCCGGAAAGGAAGACATATTTTTGAGCAAGCTGCAGCACCGTTGCTGCGTCAGAGGCAACTACCTCTCTGCAATAATTCTCAGAGCTGCGCACAGACGGCTGCGCTGAACCAGCTGCTTCAAGATCATGGCCCATGGCGAAAGAGTCCTCACGGTTGGAGATTTTTGGCCACCCTGACCCCGCGAAACCCGAAAGCCTGTGGATTGCATGAGTCCCTGCGTGCTTGCTTCTGACGTGCTGACCTAGCCTACCGCTTAGGATCCGCGGGTTTTCACACAGAAAGCACATCCAGGCACACTGATACTTTCCTAAGCATTGGGCGAGGAGTTCTTGCTGTGTTGTATGGTCAGCCCTGTCGTCCATTTGCAGACAAGCAGACTTAGACGACCAAATCGGCGGGCATGTTCGGGTCGAACAGCTCCAGCCGGAGGTTCAGTTGCCATTAAGCGGGGGATAGTCCTTGCATGTCGGAGCGCGGTTCCGTACCCGATCAGTGCACACAGGGTTTGCCGGTTTCGGATGCAAGGGCGGGGCCCTAGAGCACCATCATCCTCTAGACCCCTGCAGTCCCAAACGCCCCATTTGGCACAAAAGGCCCAAAGCCCGAAACTTTCCAAAGCTTAAACCCCAAACCCTGGAAAGTTGTGACTTTTGCCAGGCCCTTGGAAAGACGGGGCCGCCGGGGTGCCCGGGAGTGCGCAAAAGCGCGTTTGAGTGGGAAAGGACGGTCCTGTTGCTGGTTTTGAACGCTACTTCTCCTCATATGATTGGGTTGTCCTTCTGGGAGATCGTGCCATCTCTTGGGCCATGACATCGCTTGAATACACTGCTACTCTGTTACTGTCGATAGCCATTCTGTATGTTGTTCCTCTGCCAGCGTTTTCTGTATACTAGCTCATGACATTGTGAGATATGACGGTGCGGCATCTCTTCCTCGCTTGTCTGTCGATTCTGCGCTGTTACGCCACCGCGACGCTGATGGAGAGGATTGCAATTCTGATGACCAGTGTGAGAAACGGGCGGCAGCGTGCAGGACAACGGCTTCGATCCGCGCAGCGACGATCATCTCTGTCCTGCTGGTTCTGTCATGATATGTGTAATGGCCATGGTCACGATAAGCTCGGAACTAACGGTTCAACACGAAAGTAGGGCTGTTTCGTACGTATTTGATGAGTATGGAAAGGATCATGCTGCAGGTCGACACTCATTGCTGCCACTTCTTCTGGTTTCGGTTTGAGGGGTCCTGCAGGTTCCGGCGCATTCTGCTGTTTCAGTGCACCCTAAATTGCCCTAAACCCTGACCATTTGGGGACCTCGCGCCTGGCTTGGAAGAGCCAACAGCTCCATGTATCCTAATTCAGGGTCTGTTGGATCAAGATGCTTTGACTGCGGATCTTGTGTGGGGGCTTGGCCTTAGGGCGTTGCAGGTTTCAGGTTCGGTTTTATGGAGATGTGAAGACATGTCTGAGATTGAAATCGGTTTCAACATTGGCAATGAAGAGCATGCTGTCGATCGCACTACGACAGTCGATTGGAGTTCATTGCCGCGTCTGGTGGTGTGTAGTGGTCTCTCCATTTCTGAAAGCCTGGACCTGTGCCAAGGACGCCTGCCCCGCTCACCTATCCGGAGGAGCCTGCCCTGCAGGTGGAGGAAGACGAGGAGTGTGGCGGGGTCGCGGTCACTTCAGCTCTAGTATCAACAAAGACAGTGAATGTCGGAAACGTTTAGGTCCTAAACTTAGGTCCTAAACCCTCAACCCTACACCCTACACCCTCAACCCTAAACCCTAACACGTTCAGGTTGGAACTGGGGTTCGAAGATTGTGTAAGGAAACTAGGAGTTCCCAGGCCAAGTTCGTATCCTGCTCGGAGGCTCCCTGTGTTCGAATGCGGTATCACGGTTCAGGTTTGGGTTGAGGCTAAAGGGTTTAGGGTAACGCAACATAGCAGAGCATCACCGAACATGATGGTATGCAGCATTCGTTACTATACTGTACTAGCCTCTGGTCTTAGTCTACTCCACTATGTTTGAAGATACTTCTTGAGTTTTCGAGCTTAGCTGAACCTTTCCTGCTCCTTTGCTTTTACACCGGCACTCTCAGGTGCGGTATGTAGAGCCGAAACGAGCCCTCCATCCGGCAAAATAAGGCCAAGTCTGTCGAGCTCCAAACCAAAATCCCCAAACCATCCTAAGCCCCAAACCCCAGAAGGAAAACCTTAAACCCTAAACCCTAAACCCGAAGGGCCTTCCCTCTGAACTGAACCCTACCACCTCGCATGAACCAAGAGTTCCTGGCTTGGGGTGGCGACTCCCAATTGCAGGAGGGCTGGTGCCGAGCACTGCTGAGCCCCTTGTGTGGTTTTAGGGTTTAGGCTTCCAGGTGATAGTGACAAGCGCCAAACCCACAGCTCCTTTTCACATAGGTATGCACCCGGTTCAGAGTGCTTGTGGCGTGCTTTCCGACTAAGCCCAAAACCCTAAACCTCAGCCCGAAACCCTAAACCCAACCCAAAACCCTCAGCCCGAAACCCTAAACCCAACCCAAAACCCTCAACCCGAAACCCTAAACCCTCAACCCAAAACCCTAAACCCTCAACCCGAGACTCTAAACCCTCAACCTAAAACCCTAAACCCTCAACCCGAGACCCTAAACCCTCAACCCAAAACCCTCAACCCGAGACCCTCAACCCAAAACCCTAAACTCTCAACCCGAAACCCTCAACCCTAAACCCTCAACCCGAAACCAAAACCCTCAACCCTAAATCCTCAACCCGAAACCCCAAAACCCTCAACCCGAAACCCTAAGCCAGCCAGATGCAGACAAGGCTCCCCGGCATGGCCCAGACAGCGGCCAAGGGCCCCAATCCTGCAGCCCCCACTGCCAGAAACCTTAATGTAGGGGCCTAATAATTACCTATATGATTTAGGGGCTTCCTTGTTATAATTATAGTATAGTATAGTATAAGGGGCCCCAAAACCCTATTCTAATTATTTTAAAGTTGAAGCAAAGCGCTCGAAGTCCTTGCGGGGCTCAAAGCGTGAGAAACCTCAAGCCATGGCACCCCAAACCCTAAACGCTAAACCCCACGGTTTAGGGTTTAGGTTTCAGGCTTGAGGTAAACGGCTTGGGGTTGAGGGTTTAGGATTTAGGGAAAAACCCCCAAACCCTCTTCCCGAAACCTCCGAGGCCATAAATCACGAGTTGCTGGGTTCTACCCCTCGCGGTCCAAAGGACCCAATAATAAGGTGCTTGGGTTTAGGATAGTAGTTATCTAGATTACTATGTGGGAGTACGACTATCAGGCACTTAGACCTTTACAAGAGGGCAAGTTATGCGGCTTTTTTTTAAACTACTATTTCTGTAAGTTGCTGGAACCCTAGGGAAAGCCACGCCATGCTCCAAAGTCCTCAGGTTACAGCGCGCCTCTTCCAGTGCCAGGATCCCGCCCAAAGCTGAGAAAAGGGAAGGGGAAGTGATCACAGAGCCCTCCAAGAAACCCTAAACCCAAAGCGGTTTCAGGGTTTAGGGTTTAGGGTTTAGGGCGCCTCAACCTCAAAGGCACACACACATGCAGGCGACCTCAAAGAAGCAAAAACAAGCTCTTCAAAACTCCTCCCAAGATAAGTACTAAGGCCTCGGGGACGAGGAGCAGGATCGAGTCGCCAAGAAGGTGCAACTTTCTGGGGGTGCTTAGGGTTTAGGGTCTTTGGGTTTGGGGTTTAGGGTTAGGGTTTAGGGGGTTTAGGGCTTTGGGTTTAAGGGATTCGGCTTCAGGGTTGATTGCTTCAACACATGGAAGCACGCTGCAGGCCTGTACCGGATCTTCATAATAGGGCCTGAAAAAAGCACCTAAACATTAGTAAGCAAGTATTGAAACCTACCTCTTGGGGGCGTTTTTTGGAGATTTGTTTCACCTGCATTTGGGGCTCCTAATAAGCATAAGCACTCCACGACGCCGTCTGCAGGGAGCTTGTCAGTACCTTGCGGGATTCCTAATACTTTTGCCTTAGGGTCATCATTCCTGCCATATACCCCGAAAGCCTGTTCTGATTATCCAGGCCCCTTATCCATACTCTCTCAGTCCAGCTTTGTTCGGATCAGGACCCCTGCAAAAAGAACATGTGACATCGAAGACGTAACGCCCTGAACCCTCAACCCTAGGACATCTAGGCCTTGAAGCTGGATTTTGAACATTGGGGTAGTCACAAGGACCCTCAGAATGGTAGGGGGAGGGGAGTAGGGACCCTTACTCCTCACATGGGCTTGATAAGGGTGGAATCCTATGGAGCAGGGTTTCCCATCCCGGAGCCCTAACCCCCTCCCCCCTTAAGGCCAGGATTCTGAATCTTGCTGTTTGATCATATAACGCGCTTTAGTTATTTGGGGTTTCGGCTTGGACGTTTTCGGGTCTTGGGTAGTCAGTGGGGCATAACACACGATGGTCGTCATAAGGAGCCCTACGGAAGCCTGGGGCTAATAATGTAAGGACATTCAGGGTTTTGGGGGGTTTGCGGCTTGGGGTTTAGGAGCCCACAGGATCCCTGAAATGATTTGGGCTACTGCCTAAACCCCAACCCCTAAACCCCTAAACCCCAAACCCCAAACCCTAAACCCCTAAACCCCTAAACCCCTAAACCCCTAAAGCCTATACCCGAAGCTTCTCCTGCTTGGTTTTGTGAGCAGTCTGCCAGTAGGGCTGAGGGTTTGGGGTCAGCGGTTGGAAGGTCGGTTTGCACTGGGGTAAGATTCTGGGACGGGTAGTGCTTGAAAATTGGACAAGGGCCCCATTTCAAACCCAAGACTATCTCGTGAATCTTGTGTCGGTTCCGGTTCAAGTCCCACCTGATCCTGCGAAGGGATCAGCGATTCGACGGTCACCTTGTCAAAAGGTGGTGCTGAGGGTGGTGCAGGAGATAGCGTCAACTTGAGTCTTCGCTGTGGGTGAAACCAAAAAACGGAGGAAGAGGACGAGGACGATGACTAGGAGGAGCAGAGGAGGAGGATGGGGAGGAGGAGGGGGAGAGGAGGAGGAGAAGTTCGAACAGTAGCAGTTGTCCGGCGCAGTCCCCGAAGTGGTAGCATGAGCGTTGAAAATGTGGGTTTTGCTGGGCTGTGATGTCACAGGATACATTGTCAGTGCCAGTGTTACGTTTAAGCTGCTTTAACCTCACAAACTCAGCACCTGCCACATCAGATCCCGACACGGCAACCGTGAGACGAGCATTACCAATTCTATTTTGGGTGGTTCCTGAATTAACAGTAGTGTCACATACTCCAGAACCACGTTGAAATAATCAAGACCCCTAAACTAGCATTGGTACGAAAGACAGAGTTCCAAAGTCTAAGACACAACGTCGTCCGAGGCGCTTCGAACGCTTCAAGCCCCCTTAGAAGAGGACTTCGCAGGCCTGACCACGACGCTTCCAATGATCGGGATCGTGGCTTTTGGGGTTAGGATTTTGGGGCTGCCTCTAAACCTTAGACTCTAAGTTTCATGTGTAGTCTTGTTTCTGTGTCTGACTGAAGCCGGTTCAAGGATTTTGTGGCTCGGGGTTCAGAGAGTGTTCCTGGACCCAAAACTTCTAAACGCCACGAGTAAACCCTACAAGCACCCTAGGCCCTCAACGCAAACTTGAATGATCGTGCTTTCTGACAGCTCAATTTGGGATTGAAAATTATGAATTATGGTCTTGTGCACAAACTAAGCAGAACCAAGCCAACTAACACCAATGTCTCGCGACAGTAGCAATACGCTTTACAACCTATTTCTAGGATGCTAATTATTTCTTCTTCGCCAAAGCCTCAGCTGTCCTGATGTACTGAAGGTTTCGGTGCTTCAGGAGAAGATCTGTGGAGTGTTCGGCAGGAACTGAAGTCGACGCAGAGGTCTTTCTTCATCGTCGGCTACAGCTTTAGTGCCTATGGGACAGATAGGATGAACTCAGATTCTGGACCGTGAATTCCTGCGTGCTCGTAAACTTCTACACCGTCTTACACGCTTCAGTTACGCCCCAGAACCGCTCTACCTAAACCCTAAGCCCTAAACTTTCTGAACCCAACACCTCATTGACCTATGGATCTTCAATCATCAGCTACACCTCCTTCGGATCCCAAGCATCAAAGCCAGACAGGCCATGAAAGCCCTAAATTCCTGGACCCTTAAGTTAAACAAAAATATCAGTGCACGTAGCAAGTCAAATAAAGGTCGAAATAGGTGTGTAGCCATAACTATATGATTACTTCCCGGTTAGGATACTTACAATTGACTGATGATGACCCTAAACCCTGAAGCTTACTTCCTAAGGTCGGGGGGCTAGGTTCCAGCCTTGCGCAGCCACTGAAAGAAGCGCACGCCAGGAGTGGAGCGTTCCATACCGGGTGTTTCGCGAAACCGCCGGGTCTTTGGGAATTTGCTTCCGCAAACCTTTGTATAGCACATGATAAATGAACTGGAATGATCAAGGCCTTAAATCGCTTTGGGCCAGCATACACTCCTTTCTTTGCAGGTTCCTATTGCAAACCCCAACGTAGAATCTATAAGAACCCTGCAATCAAGTAGGTTTTGGTAGTTGAACGTGTATTACAAGATAGGGTGAGCTCAGAAATAGGTCCAGCCTCGGCTTCGTGTTTCAAGGGCTCGCGTCAGCTGGAAAGCGTTTGTGGCTCTGGGGTTTACAGTTTGGGAAGTTTAGGGCGTTTAGATTTGGAGTTTAGGGTTTAGGGATTAGGCCTTAAGGGTTTTCGGGTTCCGGGCACTCCACCTAATCCGAAGCCGCACCACAGAAGTCCTCAGGTAGTTGTAGGCTGCGCCCTACATTACAGCTCGAATGAAGTTGTTGTTCGAGGCTGCGCGGGTTTCTCTTAATTCCATGCAGGTGCAACTCAAGTCTTCCAGTTGTTGTTCAACTGCAGGGTACAAGTCAAGACGTGGTGCTTGCACAGACACAGACAGGGAAAAAAATGACCCAGAACCCTAGGCCATATAGCCTAAGCCTAAGCCCGTGTCATACAGCGCCGACGTTGCCAGATGCCACCTGGACTGCGGAGCTTTTGGTGTGGACCGGGCAGGGGTGGGGCACGTTTGCTTACTTGGGCTCCAACATCCTCGAAAGCTGTGGGAATGCATACCGCGGCCTGCAGTATTGCTTAGCAAAACCACCCGTTACACTCCGTCTTGGGGTAGATACTCTAATGCACCCAAAAAAATGTCTTTAAGGCCCCTGCGTGAGTGTGGACAAAGTTCTTGACCCAGAGACCTAGAGGGCTTGGCGATGCCCGAAACAGTGGACGCTAGGCAGCTCCGGGAGCTGAGGTTACCGGCTTTTCTGCAGGGTTTAGGGTTTCAGGGTTGTAGGGTTTTAGGGTTTATAGTGTTTAGGGGGAGGGGGTAGAAGTTTGTGACATCGGATCTGAAACTCAAGTTCTGCTGCAGAATGACCTTTCGATTGTTTGCATTCGCTCAGCTATCGAAGAGAGACACTTTGCCAAAGAAAAGCACAGGCGTTTTGATGGAGAGTTCTGCCCTGCCCATTGCGTAGATTTCTGCTCAATCGTCAAGTCAAGCACGGTTTAGGGCTCGGACCATGCTGGTCGCGTCTTTACCACTTTAGGGGCAGTGGCTGCAGGACTTGTCCATCAGTGAGCGAGACTTCCTCCAGGGCCAAAGGCGCGAAGCAGGACATGAGACTGCATCTCACTTTCTGCGAAGTTTGAGAAAGATCCTTCGTTTTGGGACTGCGCAATGCGCAGCTCCATCCTACAGGTGTCTTCGTATTCGGCATAGTCAGTATCCTTTGGGCTATTGAGGCTTCAGGAGACGGGGTTCATGTAAGGACGGGATCTGCCTGGCCCCGGGGCCGGAGCACCTCATGGTAAGTTCGGTTGGACTCCTCTTGTGCCCGCCGAAGCTTCAGACGTTCATGCAGCCACTGCTCGAGGACTCCTTTTGCGAAAGGCTTTCCGAAGCAAAGTGCTAGTGAATTGTTATGAAATCGAAGCAATGTTTCGAGCACACACTGCATTACGACTGCACTGCTGGATTAAGTAAGTGTTCAATGTTGCAATCCCCGCACCTCTAACTCGAGATTTTCTTGCGGAGTTGCAGAGGCTGAGAGTACTGCCGAGTCATGCCCAAGAGGGATTGCAGCCACAAACTGGAGCGGCTGCGCCCGAATCTCTGCAGCAAAGTGGCAGGAAAGGCGCCAACCACCCAAGACAAAGACGAGATGAGGCTCGAGCAATTTGGGAATTGCGGCCTCTGGTCCACACTCAGCCTTGCAAGACTCTCTCGTGCGATGTGTGTTGGGTGCTGTGTTCTGAAGTCCCTGTTATGGTCTTTATCACCCCATTCGTTGTCATATGGATCATATTGCGTCGATCATCATTGTTGTTTTCCACCTTCATCCGTCCCCAAACCCTAAACCCAAATCGACGAATACATGCTCTGGATGTGGATTTGCGATTCGTGCGTCGGGATTGCGGTTTCTTGGATCCCGTACCAGCAACGGTTTCCAACAGTTGGGTCTAGGGTGCAGGGTTTCCGGTTTCGGACGATACCTGACGGTGACTGAAGCTACTGCATGGAAAAGTTTAAATCATGAATCATAGCATAATACCCAACGCCGGTTCGTTGCAGGGCTTCGTTAAGGATCCCATGAGTTTCAGGATTGGAAGGCGGGGCAACCCCCATAAAAACCTACCTTTTTCAAGGGCCCATATACGGGAATCGTAATCAGGAATCCTTACAGGGTCGGTTTTTGCTGCAGTTTCGTGGTTCGCCCCAAGGAATCCTATATAGTCTACACCCTGGCGCAAAAGGCAACAAGTTGGAAACCGGGGAGTCCCTAGACATTACTCTTAAGGATTGAGGTGTTTTATTGTTCCTACTTTTGGGCTTCTACTGTGGCGGTGAACATCCCCAGACCCCATAGACCCTGCAGAGTACATGGGGGGACTCTGTGAAAGAAGATGTGTGGGCCTTGGGTTCTTTGGTAAACTACAGCCCCTAGAGCCTGCCAAACCCTACCAAATAAGCAGTCGGTTGTGACCCCCATCATTTTGTCAACCTTTTTGGGTACAAACCCTAAATTATCCCTAATTCCTCAACCCTTCAAGTGATTGTCGCCGGAAGCCCGACGCCTTGCAACCGTAGGGTGGAAAAGAAGCTGCGCGAGATCTGCGCGCTGAAGCGACGCCAGGCAGACCACGCGGAAGGTTAGGGTATAGGGATTAGGGTGGTGGTTAGGTTGTTCTGCGCGTCGCGGACCCTCATTTAGGCTTTGGCTTTGGAGTGTGTTTCGGGATTTTGTTGTGCGTGTCGGCGAATGGGGCTTGGAGTTGGGTTGGTCGTTCATCACCGGGTTGTTCTTTTGCATGCATGTTGGAAGATGGGTGAATCGGCGGGCAATGTCTTGTGTTCTTTTGCAGGTCAGTACTGCGGTAGGGCTGTGGATGTAGCTCGTGCGGTCGATGTTGGTTGTATACCCTGAACCCTAAACCCGTGACCCGTAACCCTAAACCCTAACTTCAATACGCTGGCTGAGAATTGCGGTAATTAATCTCGGGGGGGGCGGAGTCGTAAATGCGAGGTCTGGGGTCAGGGATGCTTTGGAGGTCAAAGGTGTTCTGGGTCCGAGGCCTGATGTGGGAATGAGGTGCTTGCTTTTTGTGACGGTGTTCTTGGTTTGGCACGGGGTTTGCGAGGTGCTTTGGGTTTGGATGGTAATTTGGAACTTCGGGGTGGGTTTTGGGAGGTGCTTTGTTTGTTTGGATGGTTTGCCCTAAACCCGAAGCCTTTAGATTGGCTGGTTGAGACACTGAGAAGTGGGACAAAAGTGCTGTGGTGGGATGCAGGATGTGAGGTCGGGGGTCCACAAGTGATATATGGAGGCCTGAATTGCTAGGGATACTATGACCCTATAGCCCTACTATATCAGTTCAGTACGAAATACCCCGAGCTAAACCACCACACTGTGTAGCGCTATACCCTTGCAAAGCTACGATCGGTTCAGCAGGTCGACGGTGAAACTCTGGACAAACTCCAGGCCCTGCCATAGATTCGGCCTAGAACCTGCACGGGTCTGGGGGTCTAAGGGGGTTACGGTTTCTCAGGGGTCTAGGGTCTTGGGATTTTAGAATTTGGAGTTTCGGAGCTTAGGGTATAAATGCTACTTTAGGATCTTAGGATTTTAGAGTTTGGAGTTTAGGAGTCTTGGGTATCAACTCTAGTTTAGGGTCGTAGGATTTTAGAGTTTAGTGCTTGGGAGCTGAGGGTATAAATCCTAAACCCCATGCCCTACGTCTTGGATTTAGGATTCAGGGTTTAGGGTTTAGGGCTACTATTTGGATTTAGGATTTGGTGTGTTCAGTCCCTTTGTCAGGGCATCTCTGAGCTTCGCGGCCGTTGGGGTTTCAAGATTTTCGGACATTGCTGGTAACGGTAGGGGCCCTAAGAATTCGAGCAGAGCTTGGGCTCCTTTATTGATTCTTGGGCTCCAGGAACTAAGGAACAATGTTGGTATTTTTTGGGGGTTTCTATGTCAAATATGTGCGATCTGCATAGTATATTAGAATGTAAGGATTGATCCGGGTGGTGTACATGCAAAGTGTAACGACCAGCACTTTCGAAAGATGAACTTTGTCACATAAGCCCTAAAACCCTCAATCCTAAACCCTGTTACGAATGTGCCTACAGATCAGGATAATGACATTCCGCGGTCTGGTCGCGGGGACTCAGCTTCAGGAGATATTGATTCTCAACTCAGTCACCCTGTAGAATTCCTTTTACCATATTAATTCCTGTTGAGTTTGAATGGCAGAAAAGCGGCACCTCTATTTATATTTCTCGGGGGGTAGAGGGAGCCTTAGCCTAACAAGTTTATTTCTTAACGGTAGCTGACGACGGCCTCGCCGGACATGTTGGTTGGAATCTTCACCAGTCCAGATAACATGCACTGGTACCTTTGCAAAACTCTTGGGTTACCAGAAACAGTCGGCAGCACTCATTCGCAGCCTGCTGGGAAGACAGTGGTGCATGCAGTGCATGCTAGTTCCCTTACCTACAGCCCCCACACAAGCTCACACCCCCCGCAACTGCCTGCACAGCTTTAACGCCGAACGTTGCACCAAGGGGCCCAGCCTACCTGATCCCCGTTCTCGGTAGAACCTCAGCGCTAAAATCTCAAACCCCAAGACCCAAAGCCTGGGGATCCTGCACCCTAAGCCCCTGAAAACACCTAAGAACCCTAAACCCTAAAGTCTGAGCCCCTATTCCCTGTACCCTAAACTCCTACACCCCTGAGCTCCGAAATCCTGAAACTTTCGGGAGGCGGAAAAGATTGCCAAGAGAGGCTCCCTGTTCCGCGAGGTGCCAGTCCGTTGCGGGGTTTAGGGTTTATATTATAGGGCTTAGCGCTTATAGGGTTTAGGGTGGGTTTGTGGGCCAGGTGTTTAGTGCCTGGGGCTTATTCGCTCACGGCTTTGGGTTATTAGGAGCTTGCCTTGATGGTGAGTTTAGGTAAAGGGCTAGCCCCGGCAGCCCCAAACACTACACACAATAAGCCCGATTTCCTGACAACCCGATTACCCGACCGCTTCAGACTTGAAGACTAAGCCTTACATGCCTTTCCCTAGGTTCCCTGAACCCTGAACCCTGAAGCCCTAAACCATGCCCTTAGCCCTACCTGGACCCCAAAGAACCCACTCTTGTTCAAGGGCTGCTTAAGAGGCAATCATACTAGGAACCTTAAATTAGAAAGGAAGGTTTCATAGGGTCCAGGTACCCTGAACCCCAACCCCTGGAAGCCCTATTTTTGAAGCCCCCAAATTCTGGCTGCCGCCTTGGGAGAGGTTGCAGATCTCAAGCTGCGGAGGGCCGAGAAGGCCCTGTTTTTTGTTTTAATTTTTTGGAGTGAAGGGGTGGGGAGAGGGGACAAGGGGGGTTTAGGGTCTTAGGGCTTAGGGTTTTCGGGTTTTGGGCTTTGGTGTTTAGGGTTTAGGACTGTTAGGGGTGTTTTGGCTTGCATGATCCCAAGCCAAGGGTGTTTTGGGGGGAAGAGTTCTTGGGCTTCACCCTTGAAACCCAAAACCCAAAACCCTAAACCCTAACCCTAGTGGCGGCTGGGGTTGAAGATTTCTTGTGCGGAGCGTCGGGTGCCGAATTTGGACCGGAAAGGGCGTGAGAGGACAAGAAGTATGAGCCTTACACCTCCGCATTATAGTTGTACTTTAAGACACCCCACCCCACCCCCCCCAAAAAAAAAATAATAATAATAATAAAAAATAAATAAACAAAATAAAAAGCATATTCTAATCACGGAGGCACCAATATTCGACAAGGTTGTCGAAGCCACAGACTGCTGAAGAGCCACTGCGTGGCTCGCATAGAAAACACAAACATGGAGGGTTTAGGGTTTAGGGTTTAGGGTTTAGGGTTTAGGGTTTAGGGGGAAGTCTGCAGCTTAGGGGCCCCTAACCTGCAGTAGAGTTTTGGATTTCATACAGGGGTCGGCTAAAGAAATTCTTTCGGGGCTTCCTCTTAAAAATGATTATAGATGACAAAGCCCTTCACAAAGCCCATTATGGTAATTCAAGCCCCTAAATTAGGGAAACGCTTTCCGGGTCGACCTGTGTTCTTGTGCTGAGCGTGCGAAGCGTGGAAGGAGCTGGTGAAGCTCTTCAAGAGCCGGAAGAAGGCTTTCCAGGACATTTGAGAAGTTGATCTTAGAATGGAGAGGTGTCAACGGTGTCAATCGTTGTGCGCATGTTGTTAGTTTGCGGTTCCCAGCTACATCATGAACTGTGAGACAACCTTCCAGACTCATTCCTGAACCCGATGCGTGCGACAGTGCCGCGGAAGATTTCTTGGGGTTCTTTGATGTCTCCTGAACCCTGACGACCGAAGTCCGGACATGTTGGCAGGAGGCATTCTGGGACTTGGAATTCAAGGCGCCGTTGATGTGTCTTGTTCCGGTTCTGCATCCTGGCATCCGAAGCCCTGTGTAAGGTTGCAGTTCGGCCCAACCCCAAAGCCGGCTTTAATCAAGCCCTGCAGTTGTTAAGTCTTGGGATTCGGTTCCAGTGTCTTAAAGGTCGGGAGGGAAGGGCTCGAAAACGACCGATTTGGTTACTGCAGCAACGATAGTTGGAGGTTTGGGCTCAGGTTTGGTTCTCGGAGTTTCAGCATGCGCGGCAGTGATCACGTGTGCATTACGCGAGTTTTAGCGGGGTTTCTTTCACTTTGGGGCCCCAAACCCTGAACCCGGTGTACAGTTTCATTCACTCGCCTCAAAGCCCAGCTCTTCTTCAAGCATCTCTTGACTTGTACCTAACATAGGAGCTTAATTGATTACCTATATTATTCCATAGGGTTCCTGAGTAGATCTCTATCACAAAGGAGCCTAGAACCCTATTCTACTTCTCAAGGCCCCTACCAAAACTATGATGTCTCCTAGGAAGCCAGAGGTTCGGCATTCAAGTCTCAAGTATCGGGTTCAAGGCCGTGGAGTAATATAGGGGCCTAAATAGTTACCTATACTATTTTGGTGGCTCCTTATGATAACTATATAGTCTAAGAAACCCCAAAACCCTATTGGAATTGTGAAGGCCCCTATATTACGAGACTTGGGATTCTGGAGCCTGAAGATGCTTCGGTGCAAGAGATCGTAGGGACCCTTAGGGGGTTCAATGCCAGCAATAAGCACTGAATAAGGCCGAGTCAAGGAAGTGTAGTCCCCTATCCCCCCTCCCCACTACCCCCTTTAAAGGGGTCCCTATGAAGACAGGGATCTAGGGCTGAAGGTCGCAGGCCGCGACTTCAGCGGCCCTTCGGGATTTGCTTGTCGCCCCACACCCTGAAGCGCCTACTACAGCCCTCAGCCGGAGGCCCTGTATGCTGAAGACGGACCTGGAAAAGGCGGGCTCCCGCAGGTTGCAAGCTTAAACCCCAACGCCTCCGGAAGACAAGTACCCATACTATTCCTCAAAGAGTCCTATATTCAGTATGAGTGGTATACGATACCCGAACACCCTGTGCTAGGTGTGCTGGCCCAAAGACGCCCCGAACCTAACAAAAATAAGCCCTGTCGCTCTTCTGCCCAAGCCCTCAGCTGAAAACCTCCATCAAGATGGGTTTAGGGCCGAGGGTTTGAAGTCCATCACAATATGCAATCCCGGATGCCCAAGCGTTTTTGGATTGATGGTCTCTCGAGCGTCAGTTGAAGTAGAAACCCAAGTTCGACTGTGTGCCAACATGCCGAGAGCCGCACTTCAACAAGAAACCCCCAATTTAAACCCCTAAATCCTAAACCCCTAAACCTCAAACCCAAACCCGAAACCCCTCAACCTAAACCCTAAACCCTCAACCCCAGACCAAAAACCTGCAACCCTAGACCCTCAACATCCCAAAAAGCCCTAAACCCTGAACCATTCGAAGTGCAGAAGCCCGGCACCTTGTAAGTTTGAGACTCATGGCCCGGCCATGCTTCGTGTGCAGCCGTGGTTTTACGAAGTTTTGCCTGGGTTGTGGGGTATAGGGCTAGGGGGTTTAGGGTTTAGAAGTTTGTTGGGGGGCATACTTTAGGCTTGTGGGTTTAGGGGCTTATTCAGGTTTGAAGGATTAGGGCATAGGGCTGCTGAATAAAGTCCACGAGGTGTAGCTCGACCACACCTTGCTCGCAGGCGAGTCGGCGCCGTTTGGCATTTTCAATGCAGAGAAATGCCGCCGCCCCAGCCAGGGCAGTATAGAGCTCCCCCAAAAGCCCTATTCTGAATATGATACGGCCCCTACATTGGCCCTACATTGCCGCATGGAAAATGCATGTATAATGCCAATACGGGTGCCGTACTGTGTTGAGGACCTAGAAATAAGAGGCCCTAATTTTAGAGAACTACCCAAAAAGGCTCCAGGATGGTCTGACAAGAAGCTGCAGGGCCGATATCTGAGATCGTTATCGCCACCTCCACGAAGTCCGAAGCTTTTGGGAGTCTTGGGCTGTCGGGTTTGGGGCCTCTGATTGGTTTAGGGTTTAGGGTGGAGGGGGAGGGAAGCAAGAGATCCTCAACGAGCCGTTAAGTCGAAGGGGAGTCTTGGGCTTCGGGGTTTAGGGTTTAGGGTTTATGGTTTAGGGTTTAGGCTGAAGAAAAAATCTATCAATAAGCCAGATTCCGTGCAGGTAGCCTGGCAGAAGACATTTACGGACACCCACCCGCGACTCTTCTGCTCCGCTGCAGCAACCCTCGAAACTCGGAACCGATATGACAGAACCACTGCCGTTACCAGTCTTTCGCAAGCCAACATCCTATAAAATAGAAAATGACCTGAAAATACTAGGAAGCAACCTATACCTCGCAACAGCGTGACCCTAGCATAACAGATGCGTGCAAGATAGTTTACCTTTTCCGACGTACCTTGGTTGCTGAATGTAATTTAATTTACATCCAGAAGCCATCCAGCATCCAGGCGAAGGCCCTGTGTCGGTGAGCAGCGACGGCGTGACCGCAGAGAGTGCCGCGCCACGCTGGGTCCGGTGCACAGATGGTCTGGGTTGGAGTTCCAGGTCTGCTTATAGCCTCCATTGTAACTCCTTTTTGGCTTAGCCAATTATATGTTTAGGATCCTAATAAGGTAACCCCAAACAATAACTTCACTGGAGACTATGGGCATGGTGTAGGGTGATGGTTGGCTTGACGGGTTAAGGCCAGTCGAGTGGTTCGGGTCGAGAAGCTATGAAGGGTCACGGCTTGATGTGTTTTAGGATTAGGGGGGAGCTGAGTGGGAGAGTAAACCTTCGGCCTGGTGGGGTACCACCAAAGTTTAGGGTTGAGGACGGCAACTGAACATCCCAAGCCCTGGACGTGAATCCTTAATTTTGATGCAGAGTGCTTGAAGCCCCAACCCAGAGACCCATAATCTGACGTACGCAGGGGAATTACGAAAAGTGCCTCAGAACAACCTGTGCTTCACCTGAGGCCTGCATCTACAGGATGTTAGTAAGCTTTAGATCCTCAACATAACACATGGGCTAAGCCTAGCTAGACCTCATCCCGACGCACATTTCGCAACTCTGAAGCCCTCAACCCTACACCGCTAGACCTAGACCCCTCAACCCGAAGCTCTTTCCTGTACCCCTGCTGCCTGAACCCCTTAATTTCACCCTCAACTCCACCCCTTACACCCCTAAACCGTTTGCACGACCTAAAGCTCGTGCAAGGTCGGGGCACCGCTCCACGTCTACGTGAAGCCCGGTGAGGCCGAGACTTGGATTTCCTGGGATTGCCGTAAAAGGGTTTAGGGTTTTGGGTTCAGGGTATTGGGTTTAGGGTTCAGGGTTTCGGGTTTAGGGTATTCAGCTTAATATGATGGGGTGTTAGACTTTGGGTTTAGACGGTTACAGTAAGGTTCTAGATGTTCGGCTTGCAGGGTTAAGGGTTTCGGCAGACACCGAACCGTGCACCTTTGGCCCGACGCCTACAAAGTCCTATGCAACACAAACCCTAGACATCATGATCTAGGACATTTTCAGGTGGGTAGTTACCGTTATGGGAGCCTTATAGAAGGTCTGTATACCTTATGGAAGCCTTATAGAAGCCCTATATACCCTAAACTCCCCACCTGTAGTTTCCTTTAACATGACCTTGCAGGTATCCGCCTTTGCCATTGAGGTCGTCAAGGGCCTTGCCCCTGGACTGCATCATTGCGAAGAAATTCGGGACAGCTTTGGTGGGATATTGTAGAAGCCCGAAGAATCAATAATACTATTCCGTACCGTTCCTTGTTAATTTTCTGGTATAGTGGAGACCCCCAAAGCCATATTCTAGTTCTAAACGCCAGTATTTGTTTGTAGGGGAGGATTTAGGGCTTTGAGTTTCGGGTTAGATGTTTGAAGGTTGTTCGCCTTCTATATTCAGGCTGCAGATTTGCATTCAAGATCAGCCAATTTGATAGCACCCTGAGTTCGAAACCCTACCTACAGGAGTTGCTTGCATTTTTGATTTACGCAAAAATTAAGAGGGGCTCAAAGTCCTTTGAGGCGGTATCGCCATTACTCTCCATGTGCCTGCTCAAGAGCAACAGTCACTCTGCACATCCATGCAGCAACACCAGACTACCCTCAAAAAACAGCTCGGATGCCGGCCTTAGTGCCTGAAAGCATCAACCAGAACCACGAGACCCTAAAGCCCAAACCTGCAACCCTAAACCTCCACGCCTCAAGTTTTAAGCCTTAAAGCCTCATGCCGATGCCCTAAACCCTGAAGCCCTGTAACCCTAAATCCTGAAACCCTAAAAAGGACTAACAGGCTAAAATCCAAAGCATGTTAGGTTCGCCTTGGTTGGGCCGCCCCAGATGCAGACGCGACCTCAGAAGCCTCTTTGGGAATCTCGGTTTTAGGGTTTAGGGTCCGGATATTTTGGGGAATATGGTGGCTGCGACAAGGGTGTAGGGTTTAGGGTTTCGGGCTTTGGGTTTAGGGTTTAAGTGAAACCCCATGGGCCCGAAAGCCCTAAACCCTCGTATAGACCCCAAAGCCCGAAGCCCTAAAGCCTAAGAGTCCTAAACGCTTGAACAAAAAACCTAAAGCCAACTACGCGCTTAGACCTGCAACCCTGAACGTGCCCTGGTACCGTGGGATGTGCTGGGAGCCACAAGAGCCCTGTGGAAGGCTTGCCAACAAATCAGGGGATGGGTTCGGGTGTAGACAACCCCCGATACTATACCCTCTACAAGCCCTAACGGGGTTTGGGGTTTAGGGTCACCCCAGACCTCAACAGTCCAAAACGTCAGGATAGTGCCGGTGCGAACACGGTAGGAGAGCAAATCTGTGGTATTCCCACCTGTAAGTATCCGTGCGCGAAACCATGCAGCCCCAAAGCCTCAGCCAGAAACCCCAATCCACAAACCCTAAATCCTAAGTAAATCCCAAACCCTTATAGCCAACCTCGTGGGAACCTGAAACCCTCAACCCTAACCAAAGTGTTTTGTATTGAGGCACAAAGCCCCTAAACCCGAAACCCTGAGGCCTTAACCCAAAGCCCCGTATGGCAACCAAATTAGAACCTTACACCCTGAACCCCAAAGTGTTTTTGCGACGAGGTACAAAACACCCGCAAACCCCCAAACCTAAACCCTAAACCCCTAAACCCTAAAACCTAAACCCGAAACCCAAAACCCTAAAACCTAAACCCTAAACCCTAAAACCTAAACCCTAAACCCTAAACCTTTGACGAGGCTGTTGCCGAACTTGGTTGCAGCTCTGGCAGTTTCGGGTTCGGCGGCACGGGGAAAAAGGCCCAAGACTTGGTTTTTCCCTGAGGCTCAGAATCTGGTTGAAAGGTTTAGGGTTTGGGGCTTAGGGCTCAGACTCTGGTTCTATGGTTTAGGGCTTAGGGCTCAGAATCTGGTTCCAGAATACTTAAAGGTTTGTATTGATTCTATTGTTGATTCACGTTTGATACTGAGTTAACGCAGTATATGTCTGAACAATGAAGGTTTGGGATTTAGATGTGGTTCCGGTGTACATAACCTCAGGTTGTAAGATAAGGGTAGTTTGGGGTTCGCCGCCGGGTTTGTTTCGGGCTCCGGTACTGGCACTGAAGCGTTGAGGGTTAAGGGTTACTACGGCTACTACAGTAGACCCTAAACCCTAAACCCTAAACCCTAAACTTTACTAAAGCGACCTTGCTGCAGAAGGAAAAGTAAAAACACAACAACAAAAACGTTACTACAGCTAGCCGGATGATGAGTTGCAGGTGCTTCGGGCCGGCAGAGATTCGGATAAGGGCGGTCAGAGTTTGTCAGCTTTGGGGCTGGGCGGGCAAGAGGATTAGGGTTTAGGGTCTAGGGTTTAGGGCTCAGAATCTGGTTCTATGGTTTAGGGTTTAGGAGGGTTTAGAGGTTTGGGGTTGAGGGTTTAAGGGGTTGAGGGCTTTCTGGAGTTTGCAGCATTTCGAGTTTGGATTCTTGGCAATGCGTTCATGAACCCATCCATACATCGGTTCGTCCGTTCGTCCATTTGTCCATCCATACTTCATTCACATCCATCCATCCATCCATCCATCTAGATGTCTGCATGTACATATGTCTTTGCATCTGATCTGTCTTTGTATAGGGTATCCTCATGTTGAATATCTCAAGTGCGTTTCGATCTTCGGATAGGAAGTATTCTTAGGGGCCCTTTGAGTTGCTTCTCACCAGTGCTGAATCAGGCTTCCTTACAGGCGTCTTGACACGCGTTCCGTGTTTCCAGTCGTTTCGGGCGCCGCCTGGCTTAGTCGGTTTCGCTTGTCCCCGAAATCCAGGTTTCTGCAGGGCTTTTTGAGCCCTACGGTGAGAGCTTCGGCGCCGGAGACACGATCCACTGCGAGGCCTTGCGTGTTTCTGGGTTTTGAGTCGGAGACTTCTGAAAATAGTGCTAATGCTATACTATACTATACTATACTATACTGTACTGTACTATACTATAGTATACTGTACTATACTGTAGTATCCTTGCTTACCCCAGGTTTACCAGGAACGCCTTTACGCGTGGAAGTCTTCGAGATGCATTCTCAGCTCAGGGTCTACTGACGTGATTGTTGTGTTTTCGCTGGAGCCCTATAAGCCCCTAAACCCTACACCCTTTCAGCTTGGCCCTGGCTGCCAACAGTCCCCACCAAGCCGAAGCCCCCGATGCAGAAAAGCCCGCGCCGAAGACAAGGCGCTCTTGGGGTTAAGGGTTTAGGGTCTAGATTCAGTAGATTCTTAAATTTGCCGACATGCGCCATAGAAACCCGAAATCTCATTACCCAAGTCAGTAAGGTCGAACTTGCACAGAAGCTAAAGCTCCCGAAGCCTTGAGCACATCGTGAGTGTGAGATAGCGTTCATGAGCTGTTTGAGACCTCCAGAGCCCTGTGCCCATTCTTCCTGGGCGGCTGGAAGCATGAGCAAATCGATGCAAACGGCTCCTACGGCTCAGTTCTGGCAGTTCCTACCCAGAAGAGAGAGAGAGAGAGAGAGACAAAAAAAGCATAAAGATAAAGCAAGCAACAAAAAAGAAAAATACAGAGAGACACACATACATACACGTACATACATACATACATACATACATACATACATACATACATACATACATACATATGCTGCATATTTAGATTATGTTTGTAACATTCGCAATATCAGTCTACATATAAAGGCATATGTGTACTTGCAAAGCCGTGCAGCCAAAGCCTGAAACCCGAAAGGGCTCCCAGCGAAGTCAAACAAGCCCCCCCTGAGGCTGAAAGGGAGGACGGCGTGTCTGCCGTGCTCGCTTGATTTTTGGGAGGGTGTCAGTGGTTCATGTCCTTGGTTCTTTTAATAATATGAAGAGATTTGACGTTATACTATAGGTGTACCTGAGGGCTTAAGAGTTACCTACAAGATTTTGTTCGTTCCCGGGGTCGGGACTTTGCGAGGTTCTGGGCTGAGCATTTGTCTTGTGACCAGGATTTGTTGGGAAGTCTCGGCAAGTCTGCCTTTCGTACTTGAAAGCCTATGGACTACCTAGAGCCCGGTGGAATTTTGGATCTCTTACGCGGGTCAGGATTGAACTCCCAAGTCAAAACGGCTGTGGTCCAGCCGCCCTCCAACTCCTGGGACTAGCTTCCCACGTTATAGGGGCTTAAATAATTACCAGTACTATCCTGCAGGGTTCCTTGCTGTGAATACAGCATACTGGGCCCCAAACCCTTATTCAAATCATTAAGGCCCCTACATTCGTCCGAATCTCCCATGGTTCTCAGCTCAGATTCGGATCTGGAGACCTTCAGGGTGCAGGGACCTCTTGCAAGGATTGCAAGATCTTGCAAGTTGTTGTGCTAGAGAAGTTTGACCCGAATGTTGGTGGCAAGCGGAAGCACACGGAGGCACGATAGCAGTCTGCAGCCGCAGCTGGTGATGGTGATGATGGTTTCATGATGGTGCCGATGGTCGGGGCGTCTTCGGCGGCTGTTGCTGCTGGTTCTTGATGCAGATGATGATGCCTTCTTAGATTTGTGATGACCGCGCCACGGCGTCAGAGATGGCGCTGTCGAGGATGGTGGCAGCACAGAATGCATAGCTAGACTGACGCTGTTCACATCATGCTCGCCATTGTCATGACCTACATGCATAGGTTCTGTATTCACAACAACAACGACGACAACAACAGCAACAACGACAACAACAACAACAAGAGCAACAGACAAGCCAGGCCTATGTGCTTTGCACGTTGCAGGCTACGCATCGGCTTTGCAAAGAACGCAGAGCCGTTGGGCGTTGCCTTCGAGGTCAAAGACAGCTTTGGGGACGAGTTGGCATCTGAGCTGTCGGAGTTTTCGACTTACATGTCGACATCTGGATGTTGAAATTTGTTGGCTGAGGATTGTAGAGTGTGTGAGTTGGGGTTATTGGTTTCTGTGATCCTGCCTGCTGCCTTCGTGCATGTCTTTCAGGGTTGCGAATCATGTGTCTATGGTCGCATGTGCAGTTCTCTATTCTTGCAGCATGCGACTATCGATTCCACATCCCCTACCTAAACCCAAACCGAAGCCATCGCGACCATCCGGCAGTGATCACCAGGGACCCGACCATCCTAGATCCTGCTTGCCCCATTCGGGTTATTGAATTTTGGTTCGTTGTCTCACTCGCCTGGTTTAGGGTGTAGGGGTTCGGTTTTAGGATTTCAGTGCCTCTCGTGAGTGACAAGCAAGTGATGATGCTTCTGTTCGCACTCTGACTCAAGCCCCATTGCTGAACTTGAAGAAAGTGTACATAGACCTCCGTCCTGCGAATGCCCAGGTCAGGTTTGGTTGGTGCCGTTTCCTCCAAGGGCGGCTTCAAGGTGGGCTACACGGTCAGTCAAGAGAAAAGATTAAATCGGTATTTTGTACAATACAGCAGACCGAGGTTAAATCGCGGGATACGACGAGCTGCTGCGGCTGAGTCCGTGTATGCGGATGTATGCGTTCATGTGTATCTGTATGTGCCATATGCGTTTTACATAAACTTTCTTTATCTACATATACATGTGCGCATGACAAAAAATCGACAGAATTCCATCGATAGGTATTTAGGCATGCTTACGTGCATGTAGCCGCATGTGCTGTTGCATGTAACGACCTACACACGCGCACGATCGCGTACGTGGGTTGCAAACATAGGCTCGAGATAAGATAGCAAAACTGTTTCATGACTTGGGTCAGTCAAGGTGTGAGGTCGGATGTTGTACATCGTTTACCGGATAGTATCATGCCGCCCAATGTGCAAGGCTTTTATTTATTCGGTGCCAGGAGGTGCACGCACAGCGTGCTTGGTTGTCGGTGGTTGTCTCAAGCTATGGGCTTCGAACTGCGCGGCGCAGGTGCGCATTGTCTCCGCAGAGTCAATGCCCTTGGAGGAGACCGGACATCGTCAAGTCTATCCGTATAGGGTGAGACTGGACATTTTTGAGCAAGAAACAACATTGCCACAAGTATTCCAATGTTCGTTCGCGCTGCACTTGCAAACCGCAGTAGGATCCAAGCTTGCGGATACTTCCTGTCACATCGATGTGCTTTCAACTGCGTGAGGTTCAGTGCGAAAGTTACTAAACCCTAACCCTAATCCCAGCTAGACTCTGCACCCTTATGGTACCATTACAAATCCGTCAACGGAACCCTTACCGGAAGGATAAACCGCTTACAAACTTACAAACCCTCAGCAAGCCTGTAAGCGTCATGATAAGAACCTTGCAGAACCCTACCCTAAATGCCCTAAACCCTCAACGCCTAAACGCAAAAGTCTATGAAACCCAGAACCCTAAACCTTCGCAACCAGCCGCTAACTTCTGCATTCTTCATTCTCACGGTAACCATGGAGCCATTTCGAGTCTTTAGGATTTATGGTTTAGGGTTGAGGGTTTTTAGGAGTTGGGGTTTGGGTGTAGGTTTGCAGAACTTGCAGTTTAGGCAGAGGACAAAGGCTTGGGGCAAGATTCATGTAGCCAGAGGGTGGTGGGCCTGACTGTCCAGTTTCCCATCTCACTGCCATAGCTACGTGGCGCTGCCTGAATCAAGTATATAGGGGTCGGAACGTTGCAGACAGTTGACGAGCTGCTGCAGAGCTGGGAAGGCAAAATCGAGGTGTGGTGGCACAGTGTAGAACGGGCAGAAGTCGTAGTCCTCACCTTAAACCAACCCTGAACCCTAAACCCTAAGACCATAGCCCCAACACCCTAAACCATTTCATAATTTCAGGTCTTGCTTCGAGCTGGAGGTCGCAGGTTCTGTCAGCAATGGTGCAGCAAGTTTGTCCGTGACCGCTTGAAGCTGTTGACAAGCGGCTGCAACATACGTTCGGGCCGCTTCAGCAGATCGAGTCGGTCGCAGTTCCACCGATCAATAATTTAAAAACCGTCAGCTGCACCGGAGCTGGTTGAGCCCATTTCATTGCCCCTGTACCCTGAATCCTATGTGTAGAATCTTTATGGCAGCTTTCGGAATCCAAACCCTACTCTACTTGTTAAGGCCCGACATAATTACGGCCGACCCCTCGTCTTCTGCAGCTAGGCCTTCCGGTGCATCAGAACCTTGAGACGAGACCATCCAACACTGCCCGCGAGATGTCGTGCTCTTCCTTGCGTGAAGCAACAACCACCAAATCAAGCACTACAAGGTTTGCCTCATCAGATTACGATTATGTTGCAGTTTCCGACAAGGGGTACCTTATTTTGGGGTCCTTATAAAAGGAACCTAATACTTATGGTGCTACTATATACGCATCCCCTATTTTCGGAAGCCCATATATGTGCTTACTATCATAGTAAAGATCACTTGAGGGAGTCCTGGAAATTGTCGGCTGTCCGGTGATGTTGAGGCGGGAACCTCGAGCTATCTCCGTACCTACTGCTTGAAGTTTCTTGAGTATGTAGAAGTGGAGGTTCCGACTAGTTGTACGTACAACTACCTTGCTTGTGACTCCAGTTTTCCTGTCTCACCTCAGCCTCTAAACCGGGCGGGGTCTGTGCCTGTAACAGGCTACGGTTAACATACTGCCCCAAGTTCTCAATCCGGCGTATACATTACGCCCCACGCACACAATCGTTTCAAGTCAGGCCGCAAACACCAAGATACTGGAAACCTTTATATGTTTCTCGACATTCCCCTGCCCTGGAATTATTCCTAACCCCAAGCTGTCTACATGTTCTGAGGCCGTTAAAGTTCTTTTAGACCCAAGCGCCCCCGAAGACGAAGCCGAAGGAAGCGCCAGAGCCCATTTTGGTAGATTATGTCAGCTACGAGCCGTCCCAACCTCAGTTTGACTCAGTTTCAGTCAAGCGTTTGCAGGATTTCAGGACTCCAGGCCTTTTCAAGGCATTAGGTTCTTGAGTTCAGGGCTGAGGGCTTAGGGTTTGGGGTTTCGGGCTTTATAGCTTCAGGGCTCCAGGATTATCGGGTCCAGGGTTTCTCAAGGATGTGCTGGTGCAAACAGCAACCTCACACGCACGCTGAGCTGAAAGAACGCATTCCCGCTAGTTCCCTCCACCCTCACGAGATCGTACCCTAAACCCTACACCATTCTGAGCAGGACTTGCCGGGGGCTGTGGGTATCGAAGCCAGGGTCGCCTTTGCACTTCAAGACCCTAGCCTCCGGGTACCTGGAGAATGAAAGATCATCGGTATTACTACTGTTGATTATTATTATTGCCATTATTATTACTACTATTGTTACTATTACTACTACAATTGTTTGTATTAACATGACGATGACTCTTATTGTCATCGTTACTACTATCGTAATTACGATTCAACACCCAATAGCAGGTCCAGGAGTTTCGTGTCGACGGTCGCGGCAGAAGAAGTCTTCCAAAGTCCTGGGGCTCCAACTAAATCGCTGAAGCGTAAACCGCAACTTCCAAGCCTTAAGCCCTTCACCCCACTCTCATATAACAGTCAGAACACTAGAAGTAGTAGTAGTAGTAGTAGTAGTAGTAGTAGTAGTAGTGGTAGTAGTCGTCGTCGTAGTAGCAG